TTTGAATGGTGGGTATTACAGCCACCTGCATCACGCTCTGGATCTGAGAGGAAGTCTGTATTTGTGGATAAAGAGCAAGCATATCCATCCTCCAAAATCTAGAGCAGATTAAATTATATCTACGTTAAGCAAAAGACAGTATCAGAATTAAGTATATATATTGCCTTATATTGTGGAAAAGGCAAGAAGCCTACCAAGAGAGGCCCGAGAAAAAAATATTTGTAATATCTTTCTCTATCCCTCTTGTACAATCAATGAATATTAAGATGTTATAATTACAAAATAAACAAGAGAGTGAGGCAAAGCAGATTACGATAACAAAAGAGAATAGACAGAAAGCTTACCCATACCCTGGGCTCACTTACAAAACTCCAGCAGAATGAATCTCCAGAAGAGACCCTTCCTCACTGGCAGCCAGCTCTTAAATAGGTCTAGGAGAGGTGGAGCCAGGCTCCACCCCTTCCAGCAGCACAGGTGAATTGCCTTCACCTGTGCTCCTGTGGCTGACTCATTGCTCACCTCAGGTGATCAATCAGAGGTTCAGGCTGTGACTGAGCAGTTCCCATACACCTCTACAAAATGATGTCACTCTTACAAAACAGTTTTATCACATACACATCAGTTATCAGCTCTTGACTTTGCTAAAAGGGAGAAATCTTCCACTTCAGAGCTCTGCTCTTACCCCAGGGATGGCCCATTCCCCACAGTCTCTCCTCTTGATAGCTACAAACTGCAAGATGTTTTTGCCAGTAACTGGGTGAGCTATTTTACTGCCACTTCTATCCCTCTTCCACCTGCAGAAAATGACAAAGAAGATTATTTTCTGCTTTTCTGTAGGAGGAAAACATAACAGTGGGACCTTCACACATTAGTCTATCAGGTAGAGTACAATCTCTGAGTAAAAACAGACAACAGCTGCCTGGGAAGATCTCATCCATGCAGTTTTACTGCTAGGTTCGGAACATCTGTATCTACTGAAACTCTCATTATAAAGCTTTCACCTCTAACTTTATTTCTGCCTACTCATGAGATGAGGACAATAATGACTTCTGCTAGAAGAGTAAATTTTGGCTGCAGTACTTCTAAATCATCTACTTAGCACCAACAGAAGGCCACAAGCATCCACTGTACTGTGTCTAGGAAAGGAATTAGAAGAACTGTAGCCACTAAAGCAAAAATCTAATTGAAGGGGCAAAATAGAACCAAGATTTGCAGTATTTTCACAGAAATAAATGAGCAGCTTCAGTAGAGTTCTGATAATGGCAAGAACTAAAATGCAGTAGCATGTCTTTCATTATAGCTGTACCTTAAAAGCATTGCATTTCCTAGCTTGCAGCTTTGTTATCTACACCATCTCTCCTAAAACCTTTGTGTGTCCCTCCACATGTAGTTACACAGACTCTGGAGGCAGAAACACCAAAGCAGAGCAGGCATTGACAGAACACAAACAGACAAACAAACCAACAACAGATCATCCAAACCTTATGTCCTCCTTTTACACATTAGACCAACCCAGTATTTCCTACGGTGCAAAAACAGGCACACCACTGATTTTGCAACTGAGTCGCTCACTATTTTTCTGTACTGTACATCACCTTTCAGTCACCCATCCCTTACCTGGTCACAACAGGATCAGCAGCATGGTTTGGTCCCCAGCGCCCCAGCAACCCTCTCCCTGTGAGACCTGTCCTTCCTGCTGGGTTTCTGAAATAAGTGGCACAGGGCATTTAACAGCACTATTTGCCTACACAGAGTTCCAAGTACTCTAAGGAATTAGCTTTAATGAAGCTTGAATAACAGAAAGGAAAGGAAAGCAGCATACACCCAATGTTAGCATTAGCTTTAAAGAATAAAAGAGAACACAGTTTTCTCTGTCATCATTGGATTTATTGAAAGCCAGACTGGATGTGGCTCTGGGCAGCCTGGTCTAGTGGTTGGTGGCCCTGCCCGTGGCAGGGGGGTTGAAACTAGATGATCACTGTGGTCCTTTTCAACCCAGGCCATTCTATGATTCTATGATCATCTTCTTGTAACCAACAGCATAAGTAAAGGAGAACAAAATGACTTTGTCATTTCCCCGGTCTTCTGCCTCCCTAAGGTCCCCACAACCCACTGCTGGGGCAACTCCAGACCAACCTTTTCATGCTTCTCTGCACAACTTTCTTCCAGGAACAGTACCCTCACACTGAGGTATCATTCTTTTCTGTCTCTAGGGAAGACTACCCTCAGTTTGTTCTAGCAGGTACCGTCTATTAGAACCAATACAGATGCTTAAGAGCTCTACAACTAAATCACTGAAATACACAGACAAAGAAAAATCACTCACCGGGGCCTCCCGTTCTCAACCACATACAAGCCATTCCAACTTGTCCTCTCCACTTGACCATCTCTCTCATTAAATTTGGGAGAGAAACCTTTATCACTGTGGGAAAGAACAATTAGAAGTTATAAAGCCCAAAACATCCCTCTGGTTGAAAGCCAGCCATGCGATCTGTAATTAACACCCAGTTGGCTAACAACACTAAAACTTAAAATGCAGGCCCTCCCTTCCCCGTAGGGGGGTATAAGATTTGAGCAATTGCTGATGATGTCTGTTTAAATCTGCAGATAAGCACGATGCTCTAAAGCACTCAACATTTCCTCCTTTTCATTTAGGCAGCATTGCAAAGCTGTTTCTGTTTATATTAGGGAGCATAAGATGTTACCCAGCGATGAAGCCAACAAATGCTTTCCTAATTTAAGTGCAGTGTGCAGATATTTTATTAGGTATGCTTTATCACAGTTGCTACGCGCGATCACTGACTTTCAAAAAGTGTTTAATGCCTACACTCTTCGTGCATCTCTGGAAGTGAAACAGCATGCTGGTAGGGGGGCAGCTCTCTACAGAAGCATATTTATTGCTCTCCAAAACAATTCCTCTCAAACTGTCACAAGAATCAATTGACTGACCAGATTTTTCCACACAAACAATTCAGGAATCTACATTAAAAACTGAGTCTGCATTTTCAAGTAATATCAACACCTACTAAAATACTATCTGACAATAGATTAAGACATGCATCTAACCTAGCTAAGCAGGACAATGTGTTCCTTGGGAGTAGAATGTATTCACAGAACCAGTACAAAGCAATACAGTCACAATGCTACCATCAGGCATTCAGCCTGCCTCACTTTCTGAGTCAGAGCGCACTGCTTCAGGCCTCCAATTCTGCTCGAGTTCTTCTCATCTTGCACACGATTCAAGAACAAACAAGCAAATACATGATGGCAATTTTCTCCCAAGTTCTTAAGGCCACAATGCTATTCTCTCATGTCAAAAATGATTGGAAAAGACAAATCAGCAAGGACACTAGAATTTCTACCTGTCTCCCTTCCACTCACCTGACCTGAGGATCTGCCCACTGAGGTCCAGACAAAATAGACACTGCAGTGTACTCCACGGGTTGGTAGTCTTTCCACTCAGTCAACCAATCCACTTTATCTGCAGGAACATGGGTACGCTCAACACACGATCTGGGATACGGGGAGGTGAGAGCTTTGTTGTGGTAGAAATTCTTAATGCTGTAACTGTCACACATGTTAACAGGATGGAGGTGGGACCAGGGAGCTGCAGAAAAGTTACTGAAAGAAAAAAAAAGAAAGTATCATCTTATTCCAAGAATCACAGAATACTTATTCATTAAGTATTAACCATGCTACTAAAGGTCTCATCTGCATATTAGACTGCACCACGCAGAACAGATTGGAGCTTTCTAGAGAACAGCAATATGTTATCGTTTCTTTCAGGAATCATGCAAACACATACGAGTAGGAAGCTGAGAACTGCAAGGGCCCTTCTGGGCTATGCAGCACTCTGAGCAGTTACTGATCTTTTGGAAGGATTCGCTGGGAGGTGTTTACCAGGGAGTGCAGTTTGAAGGCCTGCCCAAGCACTCACTCTCCACATGGGCAACGCACCAACAAACAGCTCAGCTTTACAAGAGGCCTGTTCTCACATCCATTGACAGAAAAAGCGAAAGTAAATACAAAATGTCCAAAACACCAGCAGGCCTGGACAGGAGGATCCTCAAAAGTCTCCTCCAGCTCCCACAGTTCCATGTAACTCCACATGTTGCTCTGAGCAGTGATACAACACTCAGTATGATGCAGTGCAGAGTAACACACACCTCTCTCTTCTACTGCCAGGAAGGCAATGAACATCCAAATAACACACTCACAAGAGAAAACCTCAAGACCATGAGCAATCTTATCCTGACACAGGTTTTCTGGAGCCAAAATTGCAGGCATCATACCAGTGACAAGAGCAGTTTAGATTACGGGCTTGATGTGCAGCTCTTTGAAACCCCACACGGATTTATCTCAATACACAAACTGTTGTTTGTTTTTTTTTTTAACCGCTCCAAAAAAGAGACCGCCCCCAAATAAGAGGCTGTAAGCATAACAAGAGGCCATAACCTACAGAAGCACGGATTTTCGAGAGCTCTTGGTGAAAAGCTTTGGGGATTTTTGAGATGAGGAACCGCCCGGTCCCAGACAAGCCCATACCCAGCGGCGATGCCGGCAGCGGCCCACTGTCCCTAACACACCCCCTGTGCCGCCGTACCTGAGGGGCGGGCGGCGGCGCAGCGCGCACCGGGCGGGCGGGGACAGCACAACCGCAACGGACAACACGGCGACAGCCCGAGCGAGACCGGGGAACGACACTGCACGCAACACAGTGGCGAAAGGCAACATCCCCTCACGCCACAACGGCGGTGAGACGCTCGGCCCGGGCCGCCGGAGTGACGCCAGGCCGGAACCGCCCTCCAGCAACCCCAACCACCACCACTCGCCACCGCCAGCACCCCCTTACAAGCTGCCCTCTCATTGGGCGGAGCGCGGCCAATCAGCGCCGCCTTCCGTCCATTGGTGTGCTCCTCTCCGCCGGACACGCCTCCTCCCTCCCCACAACACTCTCCGATTGGTCAGGACCGGCGGTGTGTGCGCCACCTTGCGGCGGCACTGCGAGTTGCCGAAGGAGCGCTCCGGGCTGCCGGGTGGCGCCAGGATGAACCTCGCGCTGGGGCTGCTGGTGTTCCTGGGCACGCTGCTGTACTCCTGCGCGGAGGCGCTGGTGAAGCTGCTGCTGCCCGCCAAGAGGAAGACCGTCCGCGGGGAGCTGGTGCTGGTGACGGGCGCTGCCCGTGGGCTGGGCAGGGCCACGGCCCGCGAGTTCGCCCGCCGCCAGAGCCGCCTGGTGCTGTGGGACGTCGAGGCGGTAACAACGGGATGGGGTCGACGGGGAGGTCCTGCTGGCGCGGGGGGAGCGGGGCTCGTGGCCGCAGGTGGCTGCGGGGAGCTGGGTGCCGTCTCTGTGTGCGGTGAGGGGAGTATCATGTATAGAGAGTACAGCTGCCCCGCGGTGGGGATGTTTAGTAGTGTACTTGTGTGCTCACCTCCAGCACAGACTCGGGCATGCATGGCACTGCTCTTGGGATGCAGGAAGGGCTGAAGCCAAGCAGCAAGTCATCTGTCGTGTGTCATCCATCAAATGCATCACTACGGGTTAGGGGCTGACCTCCTGCAAAGGAGCTCTGCAGAGGTTGGTGGCCAAGAACACCAGCGGCGTACTGGTTGACCAACAGCTGACCGACTGTAGACCGGTGGTTGGACATTAGCCGGGAATGTGCTGTCATGCCCAAGAAGTGCATTGCAAAGAGCCTGGCCAGCATGTGGAGAGAGGTTCTCTTCCCACTTTATTCTTCCCTGGTGTGGCCACATGAAATCACAGAATGGCTTAAGTTGGATGGGACCTTAAAGATCATCTAGTTCCAACCCCCTGCCATGGGCAGGGTTGCCAACCACCAGACCAGGCTGTGCAGTATCCAATCCAACCTGGCTTTAAATGTCTGCAAAGACGGGGCATTCACAACCTCTCTGGGCAATCACCACCTTCTGAGTAAAACATTTCTATCTAACATCTAACCTAAATCTTCCCTTTTTTTACTTTAAAGACATCTAGAACACTATATCCAGTTTTGAGCTCTCCAGTCCAAGAAAGAAAGGGTTCTCCTAGAGGGTCCAGCAGAGGGCCACAAAGATGATTAAGAGCCTGAAGCATTTTCCTTTATGAGGAAAGGCTCAGAGTGCTGAGGCTGTTCATTCTGGAGAAGGCTGAGAGGGGATCTGACAATTGTTTATAAATACCTAAAGTGTGGGAGTCAAGTTGGAGGGGGTGGATTCTTTTTCAGTGGCGTGCAACAGTAGAACAAAGGGCAGTGGTCAGAAACTGGAACACAAAAGTTCCATACTAACACAATGAAGAACTTCTTTACTGTGAGGGTGACAGAGCACTGGAACAACTGCCCAGAGGGCTTGTGGTCTCTTTTTCTGGAGATATTCAGGACTCACCTGGACACTTAACCTGTGTGACCTGCTGTAGGGAACCTGCTTTATCACAAGGTTGGACTCCAGAAGTCCCCCCTAATCCTTATGATCTGTGCTTTTGTTTTCTACCTCCTGTGGGAAGGGAAGAGGTACTGACCTTAGCTTTGTAGCTGCAACACTCACCCGTAATTCTGGGAGGAATGCCTGAATACATGTTAGCAAGCAATGAATTAGGTAGCTAAAGGAGGCAGTGGAACCCAGAGCTTTGGACAAGCTAAGAGATGATGGAAGGTCAGAAGGAACATGGCACCGTTAATCTGTTTTGATGGTAAAAGATGGCCTTGTTATTTCAGTCTAACACAAAACATGGACACATTGGTCAACAGGCTTTCCAGGTTGTACATTGAGTGCCATACCTCCTTTCTCACAGCCAAACTGTTACTCCTGCCATATTCTGGGTATACTTGTGGTGTCTCCAGGCTGTCACCTGCAGCCGCCCTTTAATCCTCTGCATACAATCAGGAGGCTGCCAGCTGTCACCTGGTGCCCACTTCCCACTGTCCAGCTAAATGAGCTTTACTGAGGCAAGGGCATTATTGTCTCTATGTTCCATTTCTAGCAGCAGTCCTGTGCAGGTCCTAAATTTAAAGTCCTCCCCTAAGGTTCCATGGTGCCCAAACAGCAAAGCTCAGGCAATGTACGGTTGCACATGCAACCAAGCAGGCTGTACTGATGCCACTGCACTCATGTCATACATGTATCCTTCTTTCCTTCCTCCCACAGCATGGCCTCAAGGAGACAGCAACAGAGTGTGAGGGGCTGGGAGCCACCGTTCACACTTTTGTGGTGGACTGCAGCAAAAGAGAGGAGATCTACAGCGCTGCCGAGAAGGTAGGGAAAGCAGGCACATGTGCCAGGGCTTACCCAAACATGCATGGGTTTTGAGAGGTTCTTCACGCAGATTGTGCCAGCTGTGACTGTGTAGAGCATATTTTCTGTGGGTGATGTGTAGGAGACTATAAATACTGGCAGTAAATAAGGGAAAAAACACCAGATCTAAATCAGCTTTCTGGATACTGCACGGTTCCTACCAGATTGGGAAAGAACATGATTTTCTCCTCTCTGAAAAAAAAAAAACAGAAACAAAAAAATACAGAATTGTAAGAGTTAAATTAATTGTTGCTCACAACCTTGCACTTCTGTGATAATGAATGTCATGGGGCTGCATGTTCCTTTTGTCTAAAAGGTGAAAAAGGATATTGGTGATGTCTCCATCCTGGTGAATAATGCTGGTGTGATTACAGCTGCTGACCTGCTCTCCACCCAGGACCACCAAATTGAGAAAATGTTTGAAATCAACATTCTTGCTCACATTTGGGTAAGGGCTGCTACTGTTTTTATGCCTTAGTGTTGTTAAGGATGAAAATAGCACCTGCTTTATCCTCTGCAGAGCTTCACTCAGCTCTATGCCAGCAGCCTGCTTGGAGGTGATGCAGCTGGGACATCTCAGAGCTGGGCTCTTGGTTCTTTGGCAGTCTGGTAGCTTACCCTGGGGACTCAGCTGTCAGTGGGGCTTACAGGGTGGTGGTCACAGGTGTTAAAGAAATTCTGCTTGCAGGTGAAAAAAGGAGCGCTTACAGATTGTACTTGCTAGGGAATAGACACTGGCAGTGTTGCTGCTGACGAGGAAAATCTAGAAAGCAGGCTAGGAGCAACATGAGCATCAGCCTCTGATACTTGACTTTGCTGAAAGGTTCCCTTTGGAAATCAGATTGCACCATCTGAACATAGAATGGGCATCTGCTTCTCAGGGCCTTGGGTGCTATGTAGCACCTTGCATTAGGGATGGCTTCACTTAATTGCAAGTAATTGGGATCAGTGTTGAAGACATCTAAGAAGGCATTGCTCTTTTCCTCCTCTTCCTCCCCACCCTATTTCTGCCCCTTTTTAAAACACCTTTTCAAGACAACAAGAGCTTTTCTGCCAACAATGATGAAGAACAACCGTGGTCACATTGTCACAGTGGCTTCTGCAGCAGGTCAATTTGTAACTTCTTTCATGGTGGCTTACTGGTAAGTGACTTCAAAATCAGCTCTCTTCATTTAATTTTAATTGTGTCTTCTCCACCAGCAAACACGGAGTAACAGAAATAAACTTCCCACTGAATAAGCTACTTCCAAAGGACAGTGCTAAGGAGAAAAAGCCCACAACATGCACCACATAAGGAGCAATTGAGGTACCCTCTGATTTGCTTATTAGCTCTGACTGATTCAGGTGATCCAATGAAGGACTGACATGTTACAAATCAACTAACGCAATCTTCAATCTTTCTTCTCTCCATAAGTGATCTGGACTTTTGCTTACTAAGAAAGGTATTTTATTCCCTTCTTCTTAGACTGTAGTGCTCTCGTGAGTCACTGTAGTGTTATCAAGTGAACATATAATGAGCAGCTTTTCCTATTTCTAGATTTGTAGCAACGACTGCAGTGCATAGAAATACTTCTGCCCCCATGTGGTAAAATGCAGGCTTTGACAGTAAACCTTTCACATGACAGAAGAAACACGTTAATACTTAGTGTTGCAAGTATCAGGTCACTACTGAGAGGTCTATGCACTGCCCACTTAAAATAGAAGCATTTATAACTCATGCACAAAGTTACAGAAAAACTGTAACATGGCATATTATCAGACTGCATGTTGTTAGCCTTCTACTGTGGTGGTTCCAAACAGAACCATTTTCCCTCAGTATGTTCCTGCACAGGGAGTCACTGTTCTTAGCAGAACTCCTGAGCCAGGAGTTTTAATCAGATTACATTGTTCAGATCCTTAGCATCAAATATGTTCATTTGTTTCTGCTAGCCAAGAATTTTCTAATACCACTCTTAACAAGTAAACACTTTGGATTTATGCACTAACATTGTCAGACTCTTCATTATAAAGGTAACTTTCTGAAAGACACCCACTTTGCATCCCATAGCGTCTTCCCCAAGCTGCAATGTGTATTTCAGCACTACAATGTGGCACAACAAAACTTAGAATTAGTCCCTGCCTTCTCATTGTTTCCCTCACTACTCAGCACTGCATGTTCTTACAGCCCTTTTCCATTTCTGTCAGGCCAGAAATAACATTCATGCCTTCTGATTTGTGCTTCTTTTCCTCCACCAGTTCAAGCAAGTTTGCTGCAGTTGGATTTCATAAAGCCCTAACGGAGGAGCTGTCTTCACTGGGAAAGGATGGAATAAAAACAACGTGTCTCTGTCCAGTTTTTATGAATACTGGATTTGTCAAAAACCCCCATACTAGGTAATGGTCACAAGTCAGCATTACATATTTGCCCCTGCTTTACCTCTGTTATTCAAACTGAGTGTATGTCCCACATAGCAGTTGTCCCTTATTTACCTGACTTTGTGCACACGCACGTGAAGCATCCTATTTCATATTCAGCTGCTGCCCATGTTTTATCACTCATATATATCTCATATATGCATTCTTTTGATTTTAGGCTTGGAAAGATCTTGGAGGTTGATGAAGTTGTGAAGGCACTGATGGAAGGAATAGTGACCAACCAGAAAATGGTTTTTGTTCCACCACAGCTGAGCTTTGCTTTACTTTCTGAAATGTAAGTGGCGTGCACACACACACACATACAAACCACCAAAGAAGGGGGAAAAAAGATGCAACATAACTGCAAGAGTGTGCAAGCATCACACCTGTTAACATCTGCTTCAAGTTTAAGCCTCACTGTAGGAGGAAGTGTAACTAGCACTGTTAGTAGTCAAATACAACATTTGGCAGCATAGAAATACTCCTGCATGACAGATTGATATGAGAAGTTTAGTTCAACCTGATTTCATTTATTTTCTACTATCTTCAATGTTTTTCACCACTGCATTGAGTTATTTATGTCATTCCACATTTTACTTCAGGCAGAGAGAGATCAAGGGATCCCTTTCCCTTCACAAATGGGAATTGCCACAGGGCTCGCAAAGAACAGTTTCTCTGGACCAGCAGCCCCAGGCAAGCTCCAGAAATAGCTGAACAACTGCTGCTTTTTAGTGTTCATTTCCTGATGTCAACACCACAAGGTCTAGGTCATGGAGGCTGAGAATGCTGCTCCTATCTGCCATGTGAAGTGAAATTTGTCCTCAGACTTCTTAAATATTCATTGTAGCTGCTGCTTTAGTGGGGCTCTGTTTTTACTGGAGCTCTGACTGGAAACCTGGCATTTACATAAGAACAACTACACTGGCACTTCAGTTAACTGCTATAGCATCCCAGGAAACACTTCATAATAGCTTGTTAATGAAACTCAACATCAGTTAAGAAACAACTCTTGCATTCCAAGGGATATTTGGACAGCAGAAGTGTGCAAAGCCACAAAGAAGTGGTGGTTACTACTGTCATAACCCTTAAGATAACTCCATGTTAAGCTAGGAGCAAGCAGACACAAAGAGACATGGCTCACGCTAAGAAAAAAAAATCATAGAAGAGGAAAGTGCACCTCAAGGTCTCTCTTTTACCATCCCATCCTTTCCTCAGACTGCTGCTTTCGAAAGCAGAAAAGCCACTTTATAAGCACAGCTCTCTACTCAGTGTTAAACCTTCCAGGGCCCTGCAAGCAGTGTTGCAGCCAACATCCTTTGCAGTGGATATCTGTCCTTGAAGTGATCATAAAAGGAGGAAGGTGCTGAAGGGACTGTCAAACTAGTCAAAGAGTTATGAAGGCAGTGGGTTTTTAGGAAATACTCCCCAGATTTAAGATCTGGTCTCAGTCTGATGTGAACGTGCATTCTGTGCCCAGATGAGCTCCAGTCTCACCTGTGGTGCCACTGTCTCCAAAACCTGAATTCTTACCCTAGGTTTAATTTCATTGGCTTTTTTTTTTTTTTTTATCCTCCAGGTTGATTCCAGAACGTGCCTCGAATGTTCTCAAAAAGCTGACTGATGTTAAGTTTGATGCAATTGTTGGGCATAGAAGCAATCAGTGAAAAAGAAATTGTTTCTCATTTCCCCATGAAATGAGTGAAAGCAGAACATATGCTGAGTGTAGCACAGCAATTTGGATTCAGAGCAGAATTAAGATGGGTACTTCTTCCAGGCCACCGCTTCCCATCACACCTTAATGGTCCATCCCACACCTGCAGCAGGAACAGATGTGCATAACATGGTGTGTTAGCAGAGCAGAGATGCAGCTCTAGAAGTCAGAAGGACTGTTCTGGCTGTGCATTCTACGATCTCTGACTCCTAGTGCTGTAGCAGACAAGAAACCCATCAAGCCCTATTTTGGGGTAAGAGCAGCTACCTATATGAATACAGTGGGATTGCCTGAGTGTAAATTAATCTGGTCTTATCACTGAGCAACACTGTCTTGTGTGGGGAGGAGTGCTTCAAGGTGTCCCACTTCATCTTAATGAACCATTTTAAGTTCAAGGAGCCTTGTGCTGCACACTCCATGTTTTGTGCTTTTGTAATGAGTACTTGAAATAATACAGCCTTTTAATCACGTGTTACCTAAGTATGTTGATTGTCCATTATGCATGAGCACCGTCAGTACAACTTATACAGAATAAATGCAGTTCTCCACCCAGAAGTTGTCAAGTAACATATTCTCTGCCTCCCAGACAAACACCTTTAAAACAAAGCAACCCTGCACATAGCAGGGGGGTTGAAACTTTGATGATCATTGTGGACCTTTTCAGCCCAGGCCATTCTATGATTCTGTGATTTCCTTACAAATTTCTGGGTGCCCTGTTCTGTTTCATGTGCACCACAAATGTGATTTATTTCATATTCATAAGAATGCAGAAAAAAATAGCACTATTTTTCTCCCTATACTAGAAGGCAAATAATTCAACTTAGTGTAAATTATGCTATCTGTTCTAGTATTCAAAAGTCAGGCTCATCTGTTAGAAGTAAAAGCAAGGATATGCTGTGCCTTCATTCATGTACTGGGATGAGCTGAAGTGGAAGTGCTTCTATGACTGTGTAGAATACAAGTGAAGGCCTCAGCTGGTAAGCCAGATATTCCTGGCTCTGTCTTCTTTTCAGTTGAGCAATGCTTTCCTTACAGCATAAGGTTGAAACAGCACTGACTCCAGTTAACATACACGCTTCGCCATACCTGTTCTCCTTCCTGAGAGTTTATCTATTCCAATCCTCTGAAACCCTAAACCCATTCATTGCACAAGATACTGTAGCACTGCGAGCCCTGGATAATTCTGGGCTTCCCCTTTCCACCCTGCTCTTCCCTGTGCAAGTGCAGAGGAGCAGCAGCAATGCAGGAATACTCTGCCGGGACCTGGGCCCAGACACAGGTGTGTGTGCCAAACCAATGGGCAGGAATATAAGGGGAACAGCCCCATATGGGCCCAGCTCTTCCTCACAAGCCAGACATGAGGCAGCCACCTGCAATGACCAGGAGGTTAAGCCTCTGAAGCTCTGCATGAACTACCTGCCTTTGCCCTGAGATACAAGAGAACACCATGCAACGAAACGCTGGTCAAAGACCTTTCCAGGGCACAGATTGTGTTTCTGCCTACTCACAGAACTGACTGTGGCAGGCATTGGCTGGCCAGTGGCCATTTGCAGGAGGCCTGAATACGCTGCCCACATTAAATACACCAAGAAGTGGGTGGCTTCTAAGATAGTCCTTGTTCTGCGTACCAATGTTTTTTTAGGCTTCTCAATTCTCTTCCTGGCCACAAGAGACAAGCTTACTCCAAAATCTGGTTGTTACAGGTACTTAACAGAAGCCTATGCCATCAAACCTCATGTAGCAACTTCCAGTAACGTCCCACAGTTGAATACTGGTGTCTCTCACTGGCTTAGAGCACTTATGAGTGGCTCTGAACTCATGCTCTGCCTCCCCCTGAGTCCTGGAGCTGGCACTTCCCTGCCTCAGCCACAGCTCTGACTTGAGCTCTGTGCCAGGAGAATGCCAGCACTGCTGAGCTGTGAAATTAGGGTCTGGCTGCACTGCTGATGTGCTAATTAAGAACAGAAAGAAGTTCCAGGAGAAGAGTAACAAGTCTGTAGTTCTGTGCATCTCCAGTGGAATCAAACATCTGCCCCAGATACAGGATGAGCAACTGTGCAGCCAAAGCAGCCAAAGCCAAATCTCTATTAACAACTGATCTTATACAAGCCAATTCTGGACATTAATGGAGCCTTCACTCTTCTTAGAGTAGGTAAGATAAAAATCCTTCTATGTCCAATTATGAACACAATTTGAATATATGTGAATTTCTAAATGAAAAGAGAAAAGCAAGTAATCCCTTTCAAACAGGACAATGCAGTTACATCATTAGAGCTGGAGGAACAAACTCAAGTGATCTTTTAAATTCTTCAATTTCTTATTAACATTTCTATTCTGGCTAAGGTTCTGGGTGCTGAATTACACAGAGGTAAATCAAAGCATGAACTGGGCAATGTATACTCAATTAGATATGCAAAATACAACAGGCTGATCCAAGAACAGTTACATTACAAATGCATACTGGCAGAACACATGCCAATTTAAAAAAGGAGATCGTTACATATGAGTATCTTTGTGATTTCAAGCCAAGCACTTCACCAAAAACAACCACTCCAGATGTACTCTGCTGGAAGCAGGAGACCCCAAACACTTCCTACAGAGTGAGATCAGAAAACAGCCTTCACCTGAACCATGTCAAAAGGAATGGCATTCAGAAATGCCATTCTGGCAGCTCAGAACACAGAACTCCACTTGGCTCCTGCTCCTTTGCCCTCGTATGAGCAAGGGCTGCTTATCCCAGTTCAACTCCGGCCTGATTCTCCATGGGGCAATGAATAAAGCCATCAGAAAGTTCAGCACTGGAATATCTTTCATAAGCAAAGGATGGGTGACCACCAAAACATATTTTGCTGACAGTTCCTCCTATAAATCTGACATGTTACCCACCGCACCTCTGTAACATCACACAGCAGGGCATATAAATGAATTTGGATTAGTGTATATTAGCTTGCTCTGTGCAAATTCCATTTGATAAAGAGCCTTTCTCTGGGACTTTAAATCTCTTAGGGAGGAAGAAGTTTTGACAGCATTTTGTTCTGCCTGACCACAGCCATGGCTCAGCCTGTTTACAACAATCAAAGCTAGTTCATCAGCCTGTTTAGGAAAGGTCAGCACACAAGGGATTGTCTTATTCTCCACAGAGCTTAAAACCAACTGGGGCTCTGCTCCAGCCAAGTGGCAGAAGAAGATGCAGTGAAACAGAACTCATCAGGACAAACAGGGAAGACTTTCCTTAAAACCGTCCAAGTTCCCTGAGGCAAACAACTACATCTCCAAGGCAGATTAGGATCTCCACATGTTACTCAAATTAATCTCCAGTTATTCCCACTTCTGCCCATTTTGGAGGGGCACTTTTATTTCTTTTCTACAGTCACTGTCAGTTCTTTTCCCTGAGGATGAGGACTTTCTTTCAAAGAAGTCAAATTTCTTTTGACATTGCAGGAGACAGTGGCAAAGGCCTTACTGATTCCAAAGAAGACAATATCCACTGCCCTCCGCTCATCCATCAGGCTGTTTCATTGCAGGACCTTGTTAAGTCTGTCAGGCATGACTTCTCCTTGATGAACACATTGATGGTGAATTCTACTGATGTTGTTATACACATGGACCCTGGAAAAGGTTTCCACGATTAGCTGATTTTTCCATTTTGGAAACTGTAACCCTTCCTCTAAGTTAGCAGCTTCAGTACTCTGGACATTGTTATCACACAAGTACTTCCTACATAGGAGAACTTCCATAGTGAAAAAGACAACAGACATTCCTTTCACAGCACAAACACAACACACATTCCCATTGCCAAACCTGTCAATCCCCCAAGGATTATATAAAAATCATAAAGGTCAACTAAAACATTTGGCTGCTTTACCAGGTGGGAAGTAATTAAACTCAACAATCAGCGGGTCCAAACAAGATGTGACTCATGACATCTTGTGGTTTTCTGATGCAAGCCACACTACCCAAAACCATATATATATAGACACCGGCCATCCATGCATCGCTGTTGCCAGAGCCATCTGCCTCCTCCTGATCCACCGACCAGCCGCTCAACATGCAGCCCAAAGGTAACACAGATCCTTGGCTCTTACCTGAGCTATGCTACAGGCAGGTGCTGGAGCAGGTTGTCCATAGTGGCTGTGGAGCCTCCACCACAGGAGAGGCTCCGATCCCTCCTGGACACAGTCCTGGACAAACCTGCTCCTGCAGACCCTGCTGGAGGGGCCTGGATATGGGAGGGGGGCGATCACCATCAGCTCCAGAGGCTCCTCAGCCTTTCTGTGAGGCTGCAAAGAAACAGCTCCTGGCAAAGACCACTCAAAAAACACCCTTTACTTACCCTGGCTGCGCAATCAGCAGCTCAAACACAGAGCTGGCACTCGAGGACACCCAATGTGGTGCACACAACTCACAGCACAGCTCCTGCTGCCCCATTTCCCTGTCACTCCTCTCAGAGGACAGCCTTATTACTTCTCCACATCTCCTTTTCAGCCAAAAGCTGTAACTCTGCTTGCTCTCTGCTTCATAGGAGTCTCTCTCACAATGAAGTTCCTGCTGCTGTCCTGCATTCTGAGCATGGTCCTTGCTGTCACCAATGCAGTAAGTACTGAACAAAAATACACAGGCATCCAGTGTGGGAAATCTTAACACTGACAGCTGGAAATTACATGGCTTTTATCTGTCAGGACAGCCTCAAGAACATCAGTGATTGTTACACGGCTAAATGCATTTATGGTATTCCCAATCTGGATTTTCAGGTTAAGATTAAGCCCTTCTCAGACTTGAAAGCAAAAACAATAAATAGCAAGCTCACACCCAGCCCATCAACCAAGTCCTCATTCCAACAGCACAGAATTAAGCTGACAATTTTTCAGACACTGAAGATCAATTCCCTTCTTAGATGTAGCATTCTAACAAGACATGTTGATTAAAAATATATGCATTTTTAAAAACAAAAATGAAGTACCTGTTTATTTTTGTTGATAATACAACTAACAAAAAAACCCCACAAGTACAATGAATTATGCTTTGCTCAAAAAAAAAAATAAAAAATCATACTTTTTCTACAGCAGCAGCTTGACAGCAATGAAAGCTCCGGTTCAGACAGCTCAGAACAGGTAAGCCTTCTATTTCTCAGTAACTGAATCTCATCAGCTCTAACATTCAGATTTACCTGGAGGGGTTGGTACTGAACTGGGAAACACTGATGCACAATTTCTCTCCTTTCACAGTACCCACAAGAAAAGACCATTTTCTTTCCTTTGCATTCCATTCTTCGCCTCCTCCAGAAACGCCCCAAGCATGCTTAGCCATCTGTTTTGCTGTGAGTCTGAGGTAAGCCACCCGTCTCGTAGCAGAAGACAATCCTGCAGCAAGCTCTACCACTACATTTGCCTATTCCTCACTTGCATTATTCTAATTATGCAATAAACAGTCTTTAGAGAATTTTTTCCTTCCAGAAATAACACACGGCTCTTGGAAGCAGTGCAGCTTTTATGCCTTGTTCAGCATGATACTTGCAGAATTCTTATTTTTCTGTTTTCACCTTTAGCACTCTCTGTTAACATAAGCACCTCACGTGAAATGAAAACCAATGCTATTTTGACTCATCACAGGACAGCCAGCTTTATCCTCAGCCACCAGCAGCTGCCCGGTCACCTGCTCACAGGGCTCTGTTTTCCAAAGCTGACGACGCTGTTGGGGATGTGCTTCACATCATGCATCAATTAATAGACTAAAGCCACTAATGCCATTGGTTCCACTCTGCAATTCTGTTCTCACTCTGTAGATACCTATCTGAACAACCAGAGCTGTCGCCTATGAAATACTGCTGCTTTCCGATCGTCTTCTGCTTCCTTCAGCACCCTCATGCCTTTTGTCACCAGCACATTGAAACCACAGATCAGCAAAGAGGTTTCCGTGACTGAAGCCAGCATGGGTCACAGTGAATATCTCTCCCCACCCTTGTCTGCTTACTTTCTAAGCCTGAATAAATGATAGACAGCAAGCAATCACAACTTCTTCATCATTTCTTAACAACAAATATTCCCATGTCACTTCAGTGACCCCACTGTCCGCAAAACAGGAAGGGCCGGGGTCCTGGGCAACCTGATCTGAATGTGTATGCTTGGTGGCCCTGCTAGGCAGGGGGGTTGGAACTACATGATCCTTGAGGTCCCTTCCAACCCAGGTGATTCTGTGATTCTGTGCAGCAGCTGTGCCCTCAGACTCTGGGCTCTGTCAAACCTGCATCCCATGCCCCTGACTGCTGACGTAGCGCACAACCCCCTCCTGCAGCAACAACCACCAGCTCCTACCTACGATTTTAAGATGTTTTGTTTGTTAAACAAAACACGTGACCACCTCCGAGAGCTCATCGCCATTTCATTGGGCGGAGCCCGGCCAATCAGCGGCGCCACCATCCCGTTGGCTGCGCCCCTCCTTCGGCCCCGCCCCTCGCTCACAGCGCGCTCCCGATTGGCTGCTTCCCTCTGCCCCGGCGGGGTCGCGTGCGTTGACTTGTCGCGGTCGTGCGGAGCGGTCGCAAGATGAACCCCGCGCTGGAGGTGCTGGTGTTCCTGGGCACGCTGCTGTACGCCTACGTGGAGGCGCTGGTGAAGCTGCTGCTGCCCGCCAAGAGGAAGACCGTCCGCGGGGAGCTGGTGCTGGTGACGGGCGCTGCCCGCGGGCTGGGCAGGGCCACGGCCCTCGAGTTCGCCCGGCGCCAGAGCCGCCTGGTGCTGTGGGACGTCGAGGCGGTGAGGCTAGGGCCGCGGTGTGGATAAACGGGCTGTTCCGAGGCCGTGGCACCCGTGTCTTACATGCATCCTTCTTCCCGCAGCACGGCCTCAAGGAGACAGCAGCAGAATGCGAAGGGCTGGGAGCCACCGTTCACACCTTTGTGGTGGACTGCAGCAAAAGGGAGGAGATCTACAGCGCTGCCGAGAAGGTAGGGGAGCAGGTGCATGTGCCAGGGCTTACCCAAACGTGCTTCGATTTGGGAAGTGCTGGAAGACAGCACCGAGGTGTCCCACTCAGTTTGTGCAAGCCCCTGCAATCTGACCACTGTTTGCTGCTGTACATACACACCTTCAGGTACTGCAGCTTGTCTCATTCTAATCTGGGAGCCTTTGTCCTATTAAGCTCGTGCTTCAGACTTTAGACCCTTCAACCAAACTTCCTGCTACTGCCTTGCTGAGGAACAGACATAAAAATGTATAAGGCTGCACTGTAGGGAATGGTTCAAATCATTTTGTATGTCCACAGTGCCAGCTGTAATTGTAGAGTATCTTTGTCCATGGGCGATGCGTAGGACACTGTAATAACTGGCAATAAAAAAGGGAAGAACATCCAGCTTTCAGGACTGTTGTGGTTTTGGCTGCAACAAGGACACTGCATGTTCCTGACTGCAAGAAAATCACTGTAAGAATTAAATCATTTGCTACTCACAACCTTGGACTTTGTGTGTTAACAAGTGACGTTCACCTACACATCTTTTGGTCCAAAAGGTGAAAAAGGACATTGGTGATGTCTCCATCTTGGTGAATAATGCTGGTGTGATTGCAGCTGCCGACCTGCTTTCCACCCAGGACCACCAAGTTGAGAAAACATTTGAAGTCAACATTCTTGCTCACATCTGGGTAAGGGTCTCCAGCACGTTCATGCCTCCATAAGCGTTATTAAGGATATGTATTTAGACCAACAGTTATTTAAAACTACAGGCAAATTACCAAATTCTCTTGCTGCTTTGTGTGTATAGCAAACATGCACTCAGTCTGGCTGTTGGGAAACTTGATTGTCTCTTGCTGATCTGGGTCTGGCCTGGCTCCCTTGTTTTCCTTTCCACACAAGTTGGCTGTGATGGCCTCTCCTGCAGCGTAGGTTGGTCTATGTCACAAGTGTTTTAGTGTCTCTCTTTGGGTCAGGCTGTTTGGGCACTCTCAGCCAGGCACCAAGAGCCTGCAAGCAGTAGAAGACGTCTTCATATAATGCAAAGTGGTTTCGTTTGTTTTTTTATCATCTGGCCCCTGAGAGAAGGCAGCCTTTGGTACATAGAGCTAGGTGCAGAGCAGGGCTGTCTGCTGGCTCTTAGCCATGCCACATGGTGCAGCCAGACCCAGCCTCTCCCTGACTGCCACCAGCACGTTTGCCAGTCTGCAGGGCTTTGTCCTGAAGTATTTTGTACCTGTCTCATTGCTGGCTCTGCTCTGGGCTCCTGGCACTGCTTTAATCCCATCCTGTAGCTGTCCTGCCGTTGCCTGCAAGTGCTGCCACCTGTCTTATCTCCTGCAGGGCTTCTCCCAGCTCTCTACCAGCAGCCTGTGTGGAGGTGATGCAGCTGGGACACCTCTGAGCTGGGGTTTTGGCTCTTTGGGACTCTGGCAATCAGATCCTGGGGATAGGACAGCTTTCAGCAGCGTTCCTAGTATTAAAGAATTTCCGTTTGCAGGAGGAAAAACGGGGTACTACAAATTGTGTGTGTGCTGGGGAGAGATACTGTAGTGCTGCTGTTGACAAGTGAAACTGAAAAGCAGGCTAGGAGTACCATGAATATCATCTTCTGCTGATACCTGACTTTGCTGAAAGAGTCCTTCCAGTGCATCAGCTGGAGGGAGAATGGGCATTTCTATGGTTCTCAGAACCTACCTAGCATTAGGAAAAGCATTAGTCACTTAATTGCACATATCTGGGAACAGTGTTGAAAAACACTTAAGACATTACTATTTTACTCCTCCCCCAACCCTTTTTCTGGTCCTTGTTCTAAATCCCTTTCAAGACAACAAGAGCTTTTCTGCCAACAATGATGAACAACAACTACGGTCACATTGTCACAGTGGCTTCTGCAGCAGGTCATCTTGTAACTCCTTTCATGGTGGTTTACTGGTAAGTGACTTCAAAATCAGCTCTCTTCATTTCTTATCTTTGTCTTCTCCACCAGCAAACATGGAGAGGGAATATGTACACTCAGTAAGCTTCTTCCAAAGGAGGAAGAAAACCCACAGCACTCAGCACATAAGTGCTTGTGGGAATGCCCACTGATTTACTCATTAGCTCTGACTGAATCGGGAACAATGCTTCAATGAAAGACTAATGAAATGACAAATAAACTAATGGAATCTGTTTTTTTTTTTTCCTCCCCATAACTGATCCAGACTTTGATTGGTGAAAAAGGTATCTGCTTTCCTTCTTCTTAGAATAACATAGTGCTCTTGTGAGTTGCTGTAGCCATAAGAAAAAATAATACTTGTATGTTTTTACCATCTTTTTTCTTCTTAGCTTTACAGACTCAGGCCATGTTTTCTCCTGTAGTAAGAAATGCTGGACATTACACTGTCTATGAATTCAGCTTTCAAAAATAAAAACATCAGACTTACGCATGCCAATTAATATTTCCTAACACTCCTCTGACAGTTCACTACTGAGACTACTTAGATATTCCGCTTCAAATCCCAAAATGTTTTCCCCAGGCAGCAATATCTATTTTAGGAAAACGCTGTAAGACAGCAAAAATTACAATTAGTCCTTGCCTTCCCAAGTGGATTGCACTGTTTCCTTCATTAGTCAGTACTGCATGTTCTCTCAGCTCCTTTCTATCAGGCCAGAAATAACATTCATGCCTTCTGATTTGTGCTTTTTTTCCTCCACCAGTTCAAGCAAGTTTGCTGCAGTTGGATTTCATAAAGCCCTAACGGATGAGCTGTCTTCACTGGGAAAGGATGGAATAAAAACAACGTGTCTCTGTCCAGTTTTTATAAATACTGGATTTGTCAAAAACCCCAGTATGAGGTAATGATCCGAAGTCAGCATTACATATTTGCCCCTGCTTTACCTGTTATTCAAACTGAGTACATACCCCACATAGCAGTTATCTTTTATTTACCTGACTTCATGCACATGTGAAGCATCCTACTTCATATTCAGCTGCTGCCCATGTTTTTATCACTGTTGCCCTTACATGCATTCTTTTGATTTTAGGCTTGGAAAGATCTTGGAGGTTGATGAAGTTGTGAAGGCACTGATGGAAGGAATAGTGACCAACCAGAAAATGGTTTTTGTTCCATCAAATCAACGTTTTGCTTTACTTCTTGAAAGGTATGTAACAACACAAGGGATAAGTGCAAGTGTACAAGCATTACACTTCATAGAATCACCAAAGTTGGAAAAGACCTCCAAGGTCATCCCATCCAGCCATCCACCTGTCACCAATATTTCCTACTAAACCAGTACAACATCTAAATATTTCTTGAAAGCACTTGTAACATCAGATTCAATTTTGTGCTATTTTAGAAGCTGGGGCAAATCAGCATTGCAGTGCATTGTTTTTCTTTCCACTGACAACAGCAGACACCATGAGGATTTTGTTGAGCTGTCACGTAGGTAGTTATGATCCATTTTTTTTGCACAAGTGCTGAGTGAAGAACTCAGGTGCTCCATTTGGGATATGGTAGGGATGCAGAAGATAAAGGGATTGCTTTTCCATAACAAATTGAATATCCCATGGGCTTGCAAAAAATAATTTCTCTGGACCAGCAGCCCCAGACAATTTCCAAAAACAGTGAAGAATCTGCTGCTTTTTGGTGTTCATTTCTTCATGGCAGCACCAGGTCTATGTCACAACTGCTGGGAATGCTGCTTGAGAAGTGTTCTGCTGCTTTCCCTCAGCCATGTGAAGTGAGGTTGGTCCCCTCATACTTCTTAGACAT